GTTACACCCCATATAACGCGGCGTCAGCACTTCCCGGGTCCATGCAGCTCCTTACAAGCACATGATACATTCTACAGCGTCCGTGCTTTTGCAATATATACTTGCATGTATAGCTAAAGACACGGTTGCAATTTTAGATCGAGTTACCTTGGAAAAAAAAGATTGTAACGTTGACAAAGAGGGCGGGCGTCCGACATAACAGCTCTACTGAATGGACTTGCTCTATGGATGTACATAATGTAGACTTTACTCAGCAAGTCACGTGCCATTTACTCTGAGCTGCCGGCTTTTAAAAATTATATTTTTGCTGACATTCAGCCTGGCGGCCAGAAGTTATAAACTGCTGAAACTATGCACGCCAGTCCCTCTCTCTCTTAGGAAAACGTGTTATAGGTAAGTATTACTAAATGACATTAGAACACGCTTATCCAAAAGTTGCCCGCCTTAATAAGCACATGACTTCACAATGAAATCCTAGAGTGGGGGGGATGCTCCATGTTAAAGATGAAATATATTTTAGAATTAAGATAAGCCATGTCAAAATATGTTGGTTTAGGTTGAAAAAATGTTGGGTGTACGTAAACACATGAGGCTGCCAGTAAACGATACATTACTGTCAGCAGCAACTGTTACACAAATACACACTCAAACACAGACAGACACACACACACACACACACACACACATACACATACACACACACATACAGAGAGAGAGAGAGTGAGAGAGAGAGAGAGAGAGAGAGAGAGAGAGAGAGAGAGAGAGAGAGAGAGAGAGAGAGAGAGAGAGAGAGGATAAATAGATAGATACAACACCGCCTCCTTTTCAGCAACAACGCGGCCCAGATTTGCTAAAGCGTCACAGGCTTAGCGTGGGCTTGATATATAAGCACATGCAAGACTGCTAGAACAGATTATGGTCTGTAGATTTTACGTAGCTCAATGTCTGACACAGCGTAATCTATTCTAATAGCATAATACGCGTACTTGCCTTAACAGATGTAACTATTATGAATTTCCATAGCTTTCATTTTCTATGTCGCCATTTTAATAAGTTTATGTAAACTATGCAATTTCCTGTTGGGCAACTGATTTTTTTTTAATGAGCTGGCAATCCACGCACGATCGGTTGATCACTAACCATGGATGCAGCTAAGCTTTATACCTTTCCCTTCTCTGAGCCCAATATGTTTTTGTTAAAATTTGTTGCGAGTATCTACCTACGAGACTACGTATTACCGATGGTAAATGTTTTAATGAAATCACCAACCTAATGTACGGCTAGTGAGCTCGTGGGGTGAGGGGTCACATGACCAAGAGTTTGGCTAATTGTCTGAGGACCTTGGCATTTTCTTGAAATATAAGAAAATGTTCTTATTCACTTTAATCCGCCACCACCTAAGTCCATGATGCCAAAGATGCCGCATATGACTCTTACATGTGGTCCACTGGACATTCTTTTACATAATCTAAGCTGTCCTTTGTCTCTTAACAATATCACTTATATCAATGTTATTAATGCATATTTACTTTCAATTTTGTAGAACCTTCTTCATTATGTGTCAAACAATCCATTCGACTCCACCTCGCCTTTCTCCTTGGGCCAGCCGTGTAACCTCGACCTTCCGCGATCCAAGTTCCAAGGAATATGACGGCTCGAGGTTGGAGACAGCAACATCAGAACTACAACCCGATCGGTAAGATTAAGAAGCTATTACACCAAATGTATTTAATCAAACTAAGATCTCTGATATAGAAAAAATGGCACCAGCCACAACTATCGAAATGACAAAACCACCGCATAATTCACTGCTGATAACAATAACATAAAATATACAAATTTCAATGGTTTAGCCTAAATGAACAATAAAATGGTGAGTAACCGGAAAGAAAATGTGCTTGAAAAGAAAATTAACTCACAATATATGTCATCGAACACGGTTTTTATGAATTCATGCATGTATGCATATACACACACGCACGCGCGCGCGCACACACACACTAACACACACACACACATGTATATATCTGTATATGCAAATATATATAAAAATATATGTACATATATAAATATATATACATAAATATATATAAATATATGTACATCTAGAAACATATGCATGTTTATATATATATATATATATATATATATATATATATATATATATATATATATATATATATGTGTGTGTGTGTGTGTGTGTGTGTGTGTACATATAAAAAATAGATAAATATAGGTATATATATATATATATACATATATATGCAGTATATGTGTGTATGTATATATATATATAAATATATATATATATATATTTATATATATATATTCATATATATATATATATATATATATATGTGTGTGTGTGTGTGTGTGTGTGTGTGTGTGTACATATAAAAAATATATATAATATATATATATAAATATATATGCAGTATATGTGTGTATGTATATATATATATAAATATATATATATATATATATATATATATATATATATATATATATATTTATATATACATATTCATATATATATATATATATATATATATATATATATATATATACATATATACATATATATATACATATATATACATACATATATATACATACATATATATACATACATATATATACATACATATATATACATACATACATATATATATATATATATATATATATATATATATATATATATATATATATATTTTATATGCAGGGGAATGTATGTGTATATACATGTACATAATACATATATATTTATATATATACATATATATATACATATATATATATACATATATATATATACATATATATATATATACATATATATATATATACATATATATATACATATATATATATATACATATATATATACATATATATATATACATATATATATATATATACATATATATATATATATATATATATATATATATATATACATATATATATATATATATACATATATATATATATATATATATATATATATATACATATATATATATATTATATGCAGGGGAATGTATGTGTATATACATGTACATAATACATATGATATATATGATAAATATGAACATACTGATATACATATATATATATATATTTATTTATATATATACATATACAAACATAGATATATACATACATCTACACATATACATATATGTATATATAATATATACATATATATACATACACATATAAATATATATATACATATACATATAGATATATACATATATATACATATAAATATAGATATATACATATATATGTATATATGTAAATATGTATGTATATGTGTATGTATATACGTACATATATAAATATGTATATATATATATATATATATATATATATATATATATATATATATATATATATATATATATATATGTATATATTGTGTTAAGTGCCACCCATGGAAACTGGTCACCTTGCGGTTCCAGGCTAAACTATGGGGGATCTCGGAGCAGCAGGAGGCCTGAGAGGTACGGAGCCATCGCCCACCGGCGTGTGGACACTCCCTACCCCTCAGCCATGCTGGGGTTAATGGGTTGCTCGGGGGACGTGGGCCTTGCTAGCGATCGTCCTCCTAGGTAAATCACCAGCAGCTACAAAAATAAATGGATATGCTGGGGGAGGGATGCTGTCCCTCCCACCCAGCAAGCAAGCCGGCTGTGGGTCCTGTTGTCAGAACAAATGTTTGGGCACAGGGTGGGAATGAGAGTTACTTGTTCTGCCTGCACCCCGGCAGGCGCCAACCAAGCATGAGGCCTATGGGGCAAAGCGTTAGGGAACCCCACAGGCAGATGTTGGGCCCCACAGCTTGCTGACCCTCTTTATTTGGGGAAGCGTGGCAGTGGAATGATTAGTATGAGTGGGTACACCTACTATTGTTCAGGCCGCGGCGATCGTCATCACCTCCAGGGAGAAGCCATAGCCATCTCCAGCCGACTTCAACCCTCAGTAGTTGAGGTAACACCGGCTGATGAGTGCATTATGGCATTAAAACTGAAGCATGTTTTAGGCTTCATGTTTCTTATTGTTGTGTAAACTCCTATTGATGTTTGCAAACTATATGTGAGAGACATTCTACGACAAACTCACATCCGACAATTGCCCCCCCAGCAAGACATTCGCATTGTTCTGGGCTTCTTCAATGCAGTATCCAGCTGTGATCAAGATGCCTGTCGGCCTCCATAGCCCGGGGGCTGATCCAGGCATTGAGAACAGCCTTCTCCGGGACTTTGCTAGGTCCCACAGAATGAGGATTTCTGGTTCCTTTTATCAGCTCTCCAACCCGCATCGCTGGACATGGTATAGCAATATGGGTACTGTGGCAATGAGATCAACCATATTGTCAGCACTCGATGGAGAATCCTCCAGAATTGCAGGGTTTACTGGAGTTCTGAGTTCTATGGCACCGACCATAGGCTGGTAGTGGCTACTCTATGGGTCCATTTCAAAACTCCACTTCCCTCCAGTGGCCACTCTAGGGTGCTTGGACAATCTGAAGGAGGAGTGTGCCCATGGGTTCGCCACTCAGTCTCTGATCGATTCACAGAACTCAAAAACCTGATCAGTTGCTCTATGGGAGTCCTTCAAGCATGAAACACTCAATGCAGCACAGGAGCCCATTGGTGTCCACTCGAAGGCAAGGTAGAATCTCCCTGGAGACATTGGAGGCCTCTGAAGTGCGTTGCATGGCTCGGCTGAATGTCAATCAGGACTTGCATCACTCTTTGGTGCGTAGGGCTCATACACTGCTGAGAAGGGACAAGGAACAGTTCATCAGGAATCTCGCTGAGGAAGATGAAGACCATTTCTTGGTAAGTGGCCTTTGCCTTACTTACCAAGCCTGAGAAAAATGAACTCCAAGCCCTCCTCACAGATGACTGTAGCCCCCTCAGTGTATGAACAGATTATCTCAGATCATGTTGGGGTTCATGAACGTTGGGCTGAGTATTCTGAGCAGC